AGAAGAAATTCCTCAAGTCCAAAGCCTTCCAACCCCCTCACCTCAACCTCAAATGGATGATGCTGATAACCAATTCTGGCAGCTCTACTATGATTGGAGAGCATGGAAAGTTGGAAATTCAGCAGAGCAACTGATGGATTGGGACCAAGAAGAATGAGAAGATCATCAAGAAATGCTTAGGAATACCAGTCAACCATAGCTGTGAAGAAATCTTGGACGACTACTGGGTATGGCAAAGGAACCATGAAGACCTGCATCTGGAATACCTAGCCAACTCACCAATTTCAGAATTTGAAGTAGATGATGAAGACCCTTCAGTCTACAAACCAGTCTTCTCTAAAGCCACAGAAGAACAGGTGGTTCTCACTTCTGAAGCACAAGCAGTTTTGGAAGCAACAGTTGAGGACTTCCAAACATTTCCGGAAGCCTCACCTGCCTTTGAAACGGAAACCTCACCTGCTCTTCAGGAAACCTCACATGCTTCTGAAATGGTTCTGACTGAAGCTGTCCAAGAGAAAGTAGCCTCTCCCCCACAAGAACAGAACCAGGAAACAGCAGCAGAAGAAGAATTTCAGCAACTAATCCAATCTCAAGTTTTAGAGATTCTCACAACTCCTTGTGAGATCTCCAATCCTACTGAAACTGAGATCCCGAAGAAGTTAGCAGAAATTCTGGAACAGTCAACTTTTCCAGAAACAAATGAAGAGGAGCAAGCTGTAGAAGCCCAAAGGAATTCTGGAGAAGCTGAGAAGGAAACTCAAATGGCAGAACTGGAGGTATCTAAAACTCCAATAGCCATCTTTGAAGAACAAAATGAAGCTGAAGACAGTGATTCCCTCTCTAGATATATATCGAATTTTGCGCTTGATGAAGCAGAGGGAGAGTCTGAAAGAACACTGAAGGTTACTGATGACGATGTACAAGAAGATGCTGAATCTCTTCCTATGCAACTGTTCCAAAGAACACCATCCTCTCATCAGGTAACCAATTTTCATTTCCATAGCTCTTCCACCTCTACCCTTCCGGATATTGTACCGGAAATCTGGACAAAGAAGGTCCAAGGGCTGATTGAATCAGCCCTAGCATCTCAACATGCCTCCTTTAGGCAAGAGATAGAGCAAATGGAAGCCAAGTACACCAAGCTTATAGAGAAATCTGAAGAGAAGCACAACACAGATCTCAAAGAAATAAGCAAATCAGTGCACAAGACTCTGGAGATTATCTCTCTATTGAGTGAAACTGTGAGCAACACGATGG